GTGTAAAGCGCTTTGGGGGTCCGGAGGGACTTGAAAAGCGCTCTATAAGTTCAGTACCATTTACCATTTACCAGTACCATCTTTGGGATGTGGTGGAACGGGAGATTCGCATCATGGATGTGCAGCCGACAAATCTGCGGCAACTGTGTGATGCCATCATGTCAATATGGACCAAAATCTCTGAGGAATGCTTCCAGCACCTTGTTGAATCTATGCCATGAAGAATTGAGGCAGTTCTGAAGGCAAAAGGGGGTCCAACCCGTTACTAGCGTGGTGTACCTAATAAAGTGGCCGGTGAGTGTATATCATTGTTTTGCCATCCTATGACGGGTGGCCACATTCAACAGACTTCCTGATCGCTTTCTGTTCTTTGTCTGCCCTTAAATAAATATTTTTAAGACCATACATGCCAGACTTTTTCTCTTGGCATCATTTCAACGTGTTTCTGTCTCTAATTGCCGCGACACTAGGAATAACTGAAGTAGAGCCATGTCAGAGGTCTGCTTGTTTATTTACGGTATCAAAAAAAGACCCAAGTGTGTTTGTGCGTATATGTATAATATAATTTGTATGTTTGTGTAATATCGGTAAATATCGGTGATCAGCCATAACAGCAATAATTATATCGGATATCGATATCGGCTGAAATTTTCACATCAGTGCATCCCTAATTAASATATTACAAAACAAATGTCACATTGCTCAGATGAACAGTTGTTCAGATATTTGCATGTGAAATAACAAGAAGTGATGTGAATATTAATTTTTTTACCAATTATTTTAAAATTTGAAATGAATTACAATCATCCTATTTACAATGTGTTTACATTTTTAAGACTTCTGAAAGATTGATTTAAGACATTTTAAGGCTAATTAAGGCTTTATTTTTGGATTGATGAATTCAACGACTTTTAAAAGGGATCCATGATTAGTTGTAACATTAGACTTTATTTGATAAACATATATTTTTACTGTAAAATAAAGATTGTAAAAATACTGTAGGCTGTTTATTTTTGTAAATTTTTTAAAATATATTTTTACACAAACGGAGCCATTTTATTTCCACACAAAGCATTCTGGGTAAATGATGACATGGCTAGGTAAATAAATAAATAAATAAATAAATAATCTGCTCCTTCTTTTCCCTTAACTTTTCTCTGCAGGCTATTTTTGATGCAGAACACAACAAAACCCAGGCAAACGAAGTAACAAAATGAACCTTGTGACATAAACTTTTTAAAAGTAAAAATAGAAATGATCCACTCTGAGACAATAGATCATCAGAGGGATTTCATCTGTTGTTGAAATCTCACTTAGAACAGAAGAAAGACACATATTCATACTAGTAGCCTATAGAACAAAAACTACAAGTGATAAAATTCAAAGGCTTTTATTAAATGAAGGAGATAATTTTACCTCAAGTAATTTAGTTTTGTTTTCACCTTGAAAATTTCTTTCCAACCAAGTAGCCCACCTAAAATAATTGGTATTCCACCTACATACCAGCAAGAAGCAAGTTAGTTAGAGAAGTAGAGACTTCAAAAAGTCCATTTTAATTTTGTCAAACAGGCTTGAATACTATAAGACACTAATAGATTTTGAGTGTTATTATCTGACTGTAGCACAAACAATTTAATTAGGCCACCAGGACCATGAATTGTCTAAATGACACCGTGTTACAGAAACAAAAATAATAAAAAATAAAAAACAGTGGCTGGTAAAAAGTTTGAGTGTCCGGTACAAAACCTTTTTTACCAGCCACTGTGGGGAAAATGTTTAATTTCCACCCCTGACCAAGACACGTAAAAAAATCTGCAGAGGGATCAAATTTGTTTAAAAAAATTCTCAACAATAGTTGATAAAGAAAGATACACAAGTAGACAAAAATGTATATAAATTCAGAAAATAATGTGTTTGATGGCCAACAGATTAAGGAGATAAAAAGGTTAATTTTTTTCTTCCATTTGATGATGGTAGATACACGACAAACCCTGCATGTCTGCAGACGTGAGTGGATGTACGTTTTGCAGTGAACAGTGGTTTTCATCAGTCCCCATTAACATTTCACTTTGATTTTTTAGTAAGATGTAGTAAAAACGTTAGTAATCTTCCTCATTCAGGCTAACGTAAATAAGAAATTGTTCTTAATGTTTTGCCTGGTAAAATACGAATGGATTCTACCATTTCTACGAGTGATGAAAAGTTGCTCTAGTTCAACAAACACATTCAAGCTTGTATCACTTGTACTGTTTCTGCAGTATGGAGGATCAAAACTGACATAACTAGAAATAAAAGCAGAACTATATAAATGAACTATTAAATAAATACACTTAAAGGCACCAATTAGAGAACTTTATTTCCTGTTTTATATTTTAATTGACTTTMATATTTATTTTTCCAGGTTAGTTTCAATAAATTATTCTATATATTTTAACACATAATTTAAATTTTACTGTTTTTTTACATATGGATTAATTGTTTTTCCTTTACTTGTACATGCATTTGTGTGTCTTAAATGTTTATACTTTATTATGTTTACATTTTTTTTCCAATAAATCTTTTTATTTCAATGTGTTGCATGCTTGTGGTGCCTAAATTTAGCTTAAAGTTTAAAGTTTAGCTTAAAGCAAAGGCAAAGAGGATTACCTCTTGTTTTAAACAAA